AAAAAAAAAAAAAAAAAAAAAAAAAAAAAAAAAAAAAAGAAAAAAAAAAAGGTATAATTGACATGTAATAAACTCCATATATTTAAAGTTGCATTTGCTAAATATTTAGAAATTATTAGTAGCGTGCATACACCCATGAAACCATCACCCAGTCAAGATCATAAATGAAAGTATCCATCATTTGAAAAGTTTCTTGTTTTTCTTCCCTCCACCCCACCCCCTCAGGCAAACTATGATCTGTTTTCTATCAATTTAGATGAGTTTTCATTTTCTAGGATTTTATAGCAATGGAATCATATAAAATGTTCTATTTTTCTGTCTTTATCTTTCACTGAGCAAAATGTCTATGAAATCCATCCAAGCTGTTATGTACAACACTACGTAGTTCTTTTTTCTGTATAGCTAAATTGTATTCCATTGTGTTGCTAGACTATAATTTTGTTTATTCACTCACTTGTTGAAAGATATTTGGCTTCTGTATAATTTGAGATTAGTACAAGTAAAGATGCTATTAACACTCATGCCAAAGTCTCCTTATGGACATATGCTTTCATTTCTCTCAGGTAAATAAATACTTAATAGTGGAATGGTGAGTCACAGGGTAGGTATATATATACCTTTTTACAAAACTGTCAAACTGCTCTGAAGTGGTTATATCAATTTACATTTCCACCCACATATGAAAATTCCTGTTTATCTACATCTTCACTAATGTTTGGTATGCTCAATATTTTTAATTTTAACATTCTAATTATATGGCTAAACATTTCTCATTTAATTTGCATTTATCCAATGAATAGCATTATAGGACATTTTAGGTATTTATTTTTCATTCACATATTTTCTTAGATTAAGATTGTACTCAATTTTTTCCCTGTTTTTAAAAATTGGTCAGCTTCTTTTTTATTATGAAAGTTTTTAGAGTAATTTATGTGCTCTGTAAACAAACTATAATAGAAATAAGATTTAACAATATTTTCCCTTGTCTTTTTATTCATTGTCTCCTCTGTGTCTTTAAAGAGCAGAAATTTTTAATTCTAATGAAGTCCAATGCATCAATTTGTTCATTTGTGGATTATGCTTTTGATATTTGGTCTAAGAAATATTGTTAACCCAAGATGATAAAGATACCCCTCTGTTTTGTTCTTCTAGAAGTTATACAATTTTCAATATTACATTTATGTCTATAACCCATTTTTAGTTGGTTTTTGTATACAGAGATTCAGTTTTTTATATAAAATACTTTTAGTACCATGTGTCTAGACGATTATTCTTTCTCCACATATTTCCCATTCGACCTTTGTCAATTATCAATTGTCAGTGCATATTTGTATACAGGGTCCTTTTAGAAAATAGAATCTGATCATATCATTTCCCAACTTGAATCCTCTCATGGTTTTCCATTACTCTTCGTACAAAAGTCCAAAATTTTAACCACTCCCTACATAATTTGGTTTCTTTCCACCTCTCTGACCTCATCTCATACTGCTTTTCTTCCTGCTTTGTGAGCTTCACTCACACTGGCCTTTATTTATTTCCTCAAATACCTCCAGTCTTTTCTGCATCTGCATATGCTATTCCTACAATTTGAAATGGTGCTTCATCCTTTTCTGCATTCATTTGTTTAATGCCTATATATTCTGGCAGCTCCAGGAAGACTTCCTGCACCTCTTAAGCTAGCTCAAATCCCTTCCTCTTACATTTTAATTTATTTTAACACCCAGCGTTTCTCCTTCACAAAATTTATCACAATCATTTTTCTTCACGGGACTGTAAGTTTCTTGAGAGCAAAGATTGGATTTTTTTGTTGTTCATTGCTGAATTCTTGGGAATCATCCTGGCATGGTACGCTTTCAGTAAGTAATAAATATCTGTGTAATAAATAATTGGATTTTATTTCCACACAATTAAATGTTTATGTACAAACTAGAAGTTTGATTATGGGGGTTTGCAAAAATCCCTATGGTTTCTGTATGCTAAGGAGTATAATAAACTTTTTTTTCAATTTACAAAGAAGAGAGTTCCTCCAATTCATGCTTCGAATGAATGTTAAACATTTAGTGTTTGCTAAGCACTTGTGATTCACTGATG